AAAAAAAAAAAAAAAAAAAAAAAAAAAAAAAAAAAGTCGGGTTCCCTGTGATTTAAACGGTTCATAATACATAAGATAAGACACGTAATTCGACAGGAAACGTCACGTGGAAACTTCTTCAAAGTGTAGCGCATTTCAAACCAGGGAATCCGTCACTCGGCATTTAAGCAATATGGCAGAAAGCGAGGAGAAAGTAACGCTTCGGGTGAAATGCGTCGTAAAAGGATACCATGAATGTAAGTTTGTTACATACATAGGGGAACAATTTGAGGCCTTTAAGAAACTTGGACCGAAAGGCAAAGCATTTCGAGTATCTAACGAAAGAGGTCAGTTGGTTCATCTTCAAAGAGAGCTTGTCGATGTGTTTTGGACTTAGGAATGTTCTGCCCTGAAATGGTGATTGTAGATGGATTTAACATTCTCTTTAATTTACACATTCCACCTAAAATTTAGTAACTGATAAACTATCAGTAATTTCAATTTTTCAGCACAATCACCGGGAAAGCATTTCTAGATCCACGTGGTAGATGGCGAGTTGGCGGGGGAATAAATAATAATGTGGTTTGATAGACCGCATCTAGGGAAGCCAGCTCGTGTTTTTCAAAAAGCCAACGAGTTGACTTTTTTTTCGCTTTAGTGGATTCCACTTCAATTCAGGGGCTGACCTTTTGGCAATGCGTTCTGTTGAAAAGAAAACAAAGTGAGTTGGGACGATACTAGAATTCACTTGACTTTATTGGCTGTTATTTGCTATTAAACAAACCTCTAAAAGCCGCCACAAGGCTTTCCTGTTTTTCTCTTGAGCCCATGAGCTGATGGAGCTTCTGCCAAGGCTCCATTCCGGCTCCCACTAGAAACGTGGACGGCGGTTTATTTAAAAGAGTTGAGAGGGTCCCCTGAGAACGATGAACGACCTCACTTGCCACGAAGGCCACAGATACTCTAGTTTTTTTCAGCCAGTCTTTGACCTTGCTGGCCAGCTCCTCTGGTGTCTCGGCTGGGTCGACTTCTGCACCGGCGTCGACAGCATTAACTTCTATACAACCGAAAATATGGATAAATTTTGTGACAAAGTGCGAGAAAACCTACCCTGCAACTAGAATTGAATATTTAAGAGCAATCTTAAGTAGATCACTTAAGTATTTTCAGTGTAACGCCCTTATTTTACGGGACCACTTAAGTGTACCCGTAACACTTACGGGGGTTTTATGCAACCGGGCCCAGGCTTCGACCTGGCATGGATGACGCCGTTGAAATTAGTACCGTATGTCCTACAGGATACAGACTACTACATGTACCAATATCTCATTCCACTGGTGGTGGCGTTTGGTATCTGTACGCTGTGTACTGAATTCTACTTGTGTATCGACGCTTTTGTCAACGTCGCTTTTCTTAAAAGAGGTTTCCACGTTCTTGGAACATGTAACTACTGTTCAACATAAACCATTGTTAATTTTTGGTGATTTTAACCTTCACGTGGACGATCCTAGTGACACTATCGCTAGATAATTTCTTGAACTATTGGATTCTTTAAATCTTGTGCAGCACGTCTACGGGAAAGACTCATGCTAATGGACACACCCTTGATTTGGTTATATCTGATGTAATGGATCCTTTTGTATAAGATGTGAAAATAACTGATCCTGCGATCTCTGATCATACGGCTGTTCACTTAACTATACACCTTGAAAAGCAAAGACTTAAAAGGAAGGTTGTCTCCTCTCGCAAACTACACGGCATGATATGAGTTCTCTTCGTAGTGATATTGAATGTTCTGTCCTCTTCAAGCATCAAGATGATCTTGACATTGTTGTTAATAACTATGATGAAGTCTTACGATCATTCCTGGACAAGCATGCTCCTATAAAAGAACGTGTTGTCACAGTACGACCATCGGCATCTTGGTCTACAGCTGAAGTCTTCGCCGAGAAACAGAAACGCAGACAGCTTGAACGTAAATGGCGAGCATCGAGGCTCCCCTCTAACCGAGGGCGTAATGCACACCAATGTTGCGTAGTGAATAACTTGATCAAGTCGCTTAAACTACAGTACTACTCGTCTATCATAAAGAAAATTCTAGTAATCAAAAAGTTTTGTTTAAGACTGTTCAAAACTACTCCAAAAGCCAACTGTCAAACACTTTCCACCATCCACCCCATGTTTGAAACTTATGGGTAATTCTTTCATATTGTGTTTGTTAATACAGTATCTTGGTCGGACAAAAGTATACTCTCAAACTTTTTTGTATACTTGGAGAAAACAAACATTTATTTTCTCACTCAAACTCTTCAAAATATTAGGAAACGTGCTGAAGTGCACGCATGCGCAAACGTTTTCACCTGGTGTCACATCGTTGGATCGAAGTGTATTTTGTGTTCACCGCTAGTTTCATATCAGTATTGAAGAAAAGAAACGAAAAAATCAATTCTTATCATGAGTAATGTAAGGTCCATCCGAAAGCCGATTTTCGGGTTTAACAGAAATTAATTTACAAAGTTCTAAATGTGGTACGGAGCGATGTTTAGTGTTGGGTTAATGTCGTCACTGGAGAGCGTTAAAAATAAATATTGAATAGAATAAAAAATAGAATTTGGCAGTGGCATTTCCACTGTAATTCCACTTTCCACTGTAATTCCAGATGGAATTCAGAAGTTGGTTTTTGCGGAGGGAGGAAACTGGAGAACCCGGAAAACCCTCGAAGCACAGGAGAGAACCAACAAACAACTCTACTTACATACGACAGCAAGCCCGGCAAAACTCGAACATTCAAAAATGACAAACGCATTATGCATTGTGTAAAGTGAGCGCTCTCACCGCTACGCCACCCATGTGTTACACTAACGATTTTTGCGGCGATTTTTGCTGCGATTGCGATTTTGTCCATAATGAATAATGGTAAAGATTTGTAATTACTTGAAAAGTTTTTTTCAGGATAACAAGATTTTCCTAGACAAATGTCTCTTTTGAAGGATGAGACAAAAGATTTCATATTTCCGAAAAACTTTAGCAATCACAAAACCGGTGGCACATTCTTGTCGAAGACCAAAAATAACGTGGGCTCATTCAACATCCAAGATCCAGGTCACCTCGGATATTTACAAGTAACGCCTGCTCTTATTTGCTGACCCTACAATTTTCATTCGGACAATGGAAAGATTGTTATGTTTGTTTTCTTTACTTTTTGGGGTAGTATCTTCGTTTTTCTTTCTATTTTCTTGGAGCAGATGTACTAGTCAATGTTTACTCTTCGGAGTCGTGAATGAAGTGAGGCGAATACACACAGGCGGTTCTGTGTTGTGGTGTTTGTTCTGTTTTGGTGGCAGTTTGACATCTGCTGTTGTAAATGCAGTTATGTTATTGCCCGTCGCTTCAAGGTAAGTACCAATTTATTCGCCTTTTATTTGGAGAAAAGTAGCAGTAAACTTTGTTTTTTTCTTCCTTAACAGGATTGAAACTATAAAATGTTATGTTAAAAGTAACCGAAAATGAAAGTCTGTCCTTTCTATGAAGTCCTTTTATATAATAGAATTATATTTTACAATCATCAGTCCTACTGTGAGGGTTCTCACCTCACACACTACCACTATTCTCACTGAAGCAGTTTTCCTATGACTCTTAAAAGCTCTTGGCACAAACATGGTCATGACATGGCAAGGCATATGTCAGACCAGTGGCATTGCACAAAAATTTACTCTGTATCCAATCAATTGCCAAGAACACAACACAAACTTAGCACATACACAGTCACACCAAGGTCATTGGGTGTCACAGCATTGCCAGACCAATGAAATTGTGGAAGAAAACAATCAGCCGATCAAAATTCAAGATAACGGTGACACGGTAAGACACACATATGACGTTTTTCACAGTCATACGAAAACTGCTCTATTTTGAACCATCAACTCACCAGAGAAAACCAGAGAACCCTGAGACAACCCTCTAGGCAAGGGAGAGAGCTACACATCAAACAAACTCAACTCACATTAATTGTGGTTCAGTTGAAAACCAAACCCACGACCCCATGCTTGAACTACAGGGCAGAGAGACAGCATTGTGGAAGGCAGAAAGATCAGCCCATGATTAGCCATGGTCAAGTTGTATTAATAAGCAGCTTTTTATTCATAGGTTTGGAAGTGTTATGAATAATTCAAGAAATGTACTGTTAGTGAAGGTTTCTTTGATGTGGACCTTCTTAGCTGCTGTTATAACCTCTTTGGGGTTTAGGCAATGGTGTAGTTCTTTCCAAGTAAACAGGTAATAGCAAATAAAAATAAAAAATTGAATATTATGCCTGAACTAGTCTAGAAAGTATTATAACCAATTCATTTGCATTATAGGCCCCGTCCACACGTATCCAGAAATTTTTGTATCCGCAAAAAAAAAAGGTTCACGAATCGTTTTCACTGTCCACATGTATCCGGAAATTTCTTGATCCACCCCGATGCATGCTAGTGCCTAGTCCCTTTGACGGGTAGTTTTTCTTATTATATCTGTTTTGTCTGTTTATTGTAGTTGTAGATATAACAAGGAGCAAGACTGGCATGCTTTCACCCCTCGGCACTCAGATTGTTTTGGAGCTTTTCTTTGGCTTGCAATCCAAACGGTAGGTTTATTGTGACTACATTTCATGTTGTCATAGGAAATAATGTCAGTTTCTGAAGTCAGGGGTATTTGTAGCCAAGGAGAAAGTTGTTGTCTTCATAAATATACTGTCATTTGCATCTACGGTAGGCATGTCACGCCAGACATCAAAACATGTTCCAACTGGCTCCTGAAATAATTTGTAACATCGTCGGCTAAACCGCAGTCCCCTTTTTAGCTGACAATCATACAACCATGTTTCAGAAGTCACTTAGAACATGTTTTGATGTCTGGTGTTAGTGCCTAAATGCATAACCAGTTTATATATGCTATGGAAATATAAATGTGGTGTGCCTAAGGTCTGACATTAGGACCCCTTTTATATGATGATTCTTAGGAGCCAATAGTTTCATACGAATCTTTTTCATTTCCCAGGGTTGCCTCTGGCTATCTTTTCTCTGTCAAGTTGGTTTTTATTACAGATGCGCCATTGTTAGCTCAAGATATTCAAGGTTAAAATAAACACTTTAAGGTACTAAGTTTCAAACAATCTATAGAATTAAAATTAGCATATTTTACAAAGCCTTTAAAAAAAAAGACGGATTGAACCTTGAAACAACCTCTGCGCTTATCAAGGTCAGTGCGTGTCTAAATTAACAACCTCTGGGCTGATCAAAGTCAGGGCATGGCGGGGGGAGGATTCCTTAAGGCCAAATAAGACTGTGCGATTTTTGCCTACAACCATCTCATGTAACCTGCTCATGTCATACCTACAACATGAGTTGTGTCGTGTAATTCTGTCCTACAACTCACTCAGGTCTGTTGTGTGCGACTACAAAAAAGTTGTAGAGTTTTATAACGTGATTTAAAATCGTGCAATAGTCGTTGCGAAATTTGCACAAATTACCCTACCGTGAGGGAGTCTGTGGGGAAATTTGTGGGGGAGTCCGTGGGACGATAAAAATGTCGGATAAAACAACGACAACAACAACAACGACACCGATTTTGCCAATAAAAACAAGTCCATAAAGTGAGACGAAGATGAGACGAAGACGAAAAAAGATAAAGTTATTTTTACTGACGAAGAAGTTGATCTTTTAATCGGTCTCTGGAGTAAGCACTGTAAGCACGTCGATTACTTCAAAAAAGATGCAAGACACGTAGCGAGTTGTAGGTAAAATGTGGTAGGCGTGTGGATCTGACCTAAGTCATGTCGTAAGTATGACGTAAGCAGGTTGCATGCGTTGGTTGTAGGCGAAAATCGTACCGTCTAATTCGGCCATTATATAATGAAATTAGCCCACATTACTTGGTGGTCTGCAAATGCAAAATAATGCATCATTCATGGTCACCATCAGTGTCCCCAATTAGCTTATATCTTAGCTAAATAACTTGACACTTTTAATAAAGTTTATCTATCTATCTATCTATCT